TGCGCTGGGCTAATGCTAATAATACTAATGCGAGGAAAATAAAATGGCAGCTTTACGGGGCGTGGTTTGCAATCCGCCCAGCCAATCAGAAATGGGAACCTTTTTCTCCCAGGAAAGTACCTGCTCTCTAGCAGGGACTGAAAAGGGCGTGAAAAGGTTCTCATGAACTAAGTTCTAGTTCCGGATTTTTTTGGTGTGAACGCACATTTTCGGAACTATATCAGAACTATACTGGGAAAAATACTCCGGTGTGAAAGCGCCTATAGTGATTTCATTTTGATACGGAAGTAAACAAAGGAGTCTAACCCTAACTTTGGGATTTTAGCCTCTGAAGACCATTAGCATGCACATAAGGGAAACCCCCAAGAAGCAGAAGAGATAAAGCACATACCATCATTGAAATTGAATCATTCTTGTGTATCACAGGGCTTCTCCCGTGTTTAGCCCCTCACAGTTTTTTCTGGACTGCCTCCAGTCTCTATATGTGTTTTGCACATCATGTGGGAGCATTGTGTTGTGACATCTAGTCCAGTTGGCTCAGACATGGCAGTTTTTTTTCTTCAGCTAGGAACCTTGGAATAGAATAAACAAAATAGCTTGTATGAGCCATGAGCTGCTTCTCTGGCGCCATTAAGCATATTCTGAAGAGCACAGGATGATAATAGGACTTCATCAGCAGCAGCCAAATCCTTTACAAGTGTGCAATCCAGCTATTATATCTTAATAATACTAATACACCACTGTAAATATTATAAAATACATGTTATATATTGAGATATAGTGTGCCCGGGTTTTTGTAAATATTTGTAACGTATATATTCTGAAGTATGTACGTTAATGGCTGTACAGCAATGTTTTAAGTTTCACTCATAATGTTGATATGAGGTTTTTTTCAACATATTAAATGCGGCAAAGCTTTTTTGTGGCTTTAGTAGTTATTCTGTCTGCAGTTAAAACTTCTCCAATAAATGTCAAAATATTGAGAAAAGATAGATAATCACTTCCAACTAACTACTCTGCCCCAAAAAATATTTGTTAGTGTTCAGATTTTTAAAAAACAGCAAAAGAATGGCACGCAATGAGTTTTATTCATCAAAGTAAAAAAGTGGATTACAAAGAAATTGAGGATTTTTCTCAACAATTTTACAAAAGTTATAAAATGTGACAGAAGACATTCAAAGCGTCATTTGTAAACCTCGATAAAAGCTTTAATAAAGTGAAAACATGAACATCGGTGCATCCCTAGGTCATGGAGACCCAGTCCAGTACATTTGATTTATTTATCAAATTAAAACAAACCCTCTTTGACTCTGTTTATGTGAGACTTAAATCATGAATTAGCACTCTTGTTTGTACATGATGAAGTCTCAATCCCTCCTTGTGTAATCAACTGTAACCTTCTCTAAATACTCCGTTTTTTATCCCTTTACCGAGAGATGGCAAAAGTACACACATCCTTCACTCTAGTAGAAGTACAGATACTCGTGTTTAGAAATACTCTGGTGAAAGTAGAAGTACTGACTAAACTTCTTTACTCAAGTCAAAGTAAAGAGGGCTTTGAAATGTACTTCAGTAAAAAGTACCCATAACTAGCAGCTGTTTTAAAGAGTACCTGACCTCCCTTTATATTAATAGAACAATAATGTCATTGTTAGCTAATGAATGTTTCCATGCTGAACAACGGCAACATGACAACGTTTTCATTGGTCCCTCTTCTTTAGAGAAGACCAGGAAATGATGGATACACGGATCGTGTTCAAATCAATAGGCACGCAATGACTCTAAATAATAATGATCACGCCACCAAACACACATTCAAACTAAAGGAACCAGCCTGTTTGGGAAATGTAAGAAGTAGAAAGTACAGGTATTTGTGTTCAACATGTAAGAAGTAGAAAGTACAGGTATTTGTGTTCAACATGTAAGAAGTAGAAAGTACAGGTATTTGTGTTCAAAATGTAAGAAGTAGAAAGTACAGGTATTTGTGTTCAACATGTAAGAAGTAGAAAGTACAGGTATTTGAGTTCAACATGTAAGAAGTAGAAAGTACAGGTATTTGTGTTCAAAGTGTAAGAAGTAGAAAGTACAGGTATTTATGTTCAAAATGTGAGAAGTAGAAAGTACAGGTATTTGGGTTCAACATGTAAGAAGTAGAAAGTACAGGTATTTGTGTTCAACATGTAAGAAGTAGAAAGTACAGGTATTTGAGTTCAACATGTAAGAAGTAGAAAGTACAGGTATTTGGGTTCAACATGTAAGAAGTAGAAAGTACAGGTATTTGTGTTCAACATGTAAGAAGTAGAAAGTACAGGTATTTGAGTTCAACATGTAAGAAGTAGAAAGTACAGGTATTTGTGTTCAAAGTGTAAGAAGTAGAAAGTACAGGTATTTATGTTCAAAATGTAAGAAGTAGAAAGTACAGGTATTTGGGTTCAACATGTAAGAAGTAGAAAGTACAGGTATTTGTGTTCAACATGTAAGAAGTAGAAAGTACAGGTATTTGAGTTCAACATGTAAGAAGTAGAAAGTACAGGTATTTGGGTTCAACATGTAAGAAGTAGAAAGTACAGGTATTTGTGTTCAACATGTAAGAAGTAGAAAGTACAGGTATTTGTGTTCAAAAAGTCGTCAGAATAATAAGTAGTGGAGTAAAGTACTGATACCAGAAAAATGTATTTAAGTACAGTAACAAAGTATTTGTACTCCAATACTTCCCACCTCTGCTTTTACCCAGCATTTTGGGTATGAATGTGTGTGTACGTAAATAACCCCCGGGCTATACTTTGCATAAGGGACACACCCTTTGAGTACAGGCTAGTGCACGCTTAAAGCCCACATGTCCTAACAAGAACACTTATATATACTCTATGCCCTGTTGGCTAATGCCTCACCAATGAATTTCAACGTGTTACCGTCTCCCTTTGAGCAGCCTTTTTGATGCTTCCCGTCAGAAACCGTAGCAGATGCCCCGCTTTCACACATTCCTCCATAACGTACATTCATCCTCGCCGCAATAAAAAGTGTCAGCGGCCGAGTTTACCAGATTTCTTTTCTGCTTTATCTTTTGGGCGCAGACCCCAGAAGCTGTCTGTGTTGCAGATGGGATTTTTAGCCTCAGCTGGCGGTTTCTCTGCAGGAGGAGAGTGAGCAGTCGGGCTGTAGGATTAGAGGAAGAGGAGGGTTTGCTTTGCGGCATCGCACTTATTCTGTCTAATTAAAAAGGCCGTCTGGAGACCGCCTGTCTCCCGGCTTCACCCGGCCCATATTCAACCCGTTAGAGCTCTGATGGGAGAAGATGTGTGTCTTGACCTCGCTGTTTGTTCTTTTAAACCTTACTTCGTTTTTCTCTTGTTCGTTTCAATTTAAGTTCAGTTCACAAAGCTACATCGGCATGACTATAATGACATCAGTATTGACAAAGCAATGCTCTTAATGTCATTTTTGAATTGCCTTGTGCTGAAAGGAGCTATATAAATAAACTTGCCTTTTCCTTAAGATAAGATAAGAAGAACTTTATTGATCCCAATTTGGGACATGTTTGTGGTGCAGCAGCATAAAAAGACATGGCATTTTACAATAGAAATGATAAGACTAGGAATAAACACACATACTATATATCGAGATCTAATTACATCTTCGAACATATACATTTGGAATAAATTGTTGTGGAACAAAGGAAAATTACTTTCTTTACAAGTGAAAAAAATACAAGCATTTTTGCACAAATTCAACATAAACAACCCCCCCCCTCCCAGTCCCATTTCTTAACCCCTTTCTTAAAATCAATAACAATATAAATTATTGATTATTGTGCAGAAAATAACTGATAAAATATACATAAAACACATCAATACAATAATGAACATGTTCCGATCTAACGCTTTGATGCAAACAGACTTGGTTAGGTCCAAGATGCCTTTGAGTGTGTGCAGTGATTGAAGCGAGCAACATTGCACGCACACACACACACGCACACGCACACGCACACGCACATGCACACGCACACACACACACGCAAGATAAGGTGTGTGTGCTTCAGGGCAGCCTCTGCAGATGATCCTGCTGCTGATACAGTTGTAACGGTGCGGACAGAAACAGATCCTGAGGGCTGAACGCAGGGAATCTGAATTATAGATGGAGTCTAATAGAAATCCTACAAATAAACAGGAACATGTTTCCCACAATGCAGCAGTGGTAAACATGTCACGGGTGACGAGGCACAGTTAGTGTTTTTATCTCCCGTTCGAACCATGTAAGCATCTTTGTATCTCAAAGCGTGTATCGAATTTTCTCCGTCTTAATAATAGATGTGTTTTCTGTAAATATTTCATGGTCGGCTGAAAACTCATGGCTGTGAGAGATATGGGGGGAGAGGGGGGAGGGGGGAGGGGGGGAGAGGCAGGATTTAAACCCCCTCTTTTCTGAATGAGGCAGGATTTAAACCCCCTCTTTTCTCCCCCTTCAGGACGCTCTTCACCAACGCTGAGTTATTTTAAGTCGAGGCTAAAAACACTACACTACAAAAACTAAATTATTAACATATACGGTATATATATATTTTTGTATTTTCTTAAAGAAATACATTTGTTATTAAAAAAAAATAAATAAAAATAAACAAATAAATAAGAAGTTATTAACACACTTATGAAGTGTTAATGATGATTTAAATCACTTTGAATTGCCTCTGTGTCTGAAAATGTGCTATATAAATAATAATAATACGTTTATTCATTATAGCACCTTTCACAGAAATAGATTTCACAAAGTGCTTCACAAGAAAGAACAAAAGTTAGAAACATGAATACAATAACCACATGAGGCAGAAATGTAAGGTCCACCTAAAAACAAAACACAGACCACGTGGAGTCCCGAGAGGAACAAACATAACAACAGAACACATCACACACATCTCAAGTAGAAATAAAAGCCAGAGCCATAAACGCACCTTACCTATAAGCACTGCTCCCATATGTTAACTTGTCCCCCCCTCTCTCCTTCAGGGCGCTCAGGATTCGACAGGAGGACAGGAGGGATTGGTGGCCCCTCCTTTCGCAGCGTTCCCCCCTCCCCCCCCTCCTCAGAACGGGCTGCCAGGCGCAGAGTTTGTCCCCGCGGCCATGTTCGCTGCCGGGGTCCAAAGCCCAGCAGAGGTGGGGGCCGGGGCCATCGTAGGCAGCCCCTCTGCCTCCCCCAACAACAACAACGTAAGCATGAAGACTTTTATGCAAAATCCACTTGTTCATCAACATGTGTCCCCTCTTCTTCATGTCTCTTCTACATCAACATGTGTCCCCTCTTCTTCATGTCTCTTCTACATCAACATGTGTCCCCTCTTCTTCATGTCTCTTCTACATCAACATGTGTCCCCTCTTCTTCATGTCTCTTCTACATCAACATGTGTCCCCTCTTCTTCATGTCTCTTCTACATCAACATGTGTCCCCTCTTCTTCATGTCTCTTCTACATCAACATGTGTCCCCTCTTCTTCATGTCTCTTCTTCATCAACATGTGTCCCCTCTTCTTCATGTCTCTTCTACATCAACATGTGTCCCCTCTTCTTCATGTCTCTTCTACATCAACATGTGTCCCCTCTTCTTCATGTCTCTTCTACATCAACATGTGTCCCCTCTTCTTCATGTCTCTTCTACATCAACATGTGTCCCCTCTTCTTCATTTCTCTTCTACATCACCATGTGTCCCCTCTGTGGAAAGAGACTCTGAAAGTTTCAGGAAAAAAGACCCCCTCTCTTTTTGTCCTGATCCATTTCTATAAAAACCTGTCTGAAAATGAGCTGATCAGATTTTGGCCACTTTATGATGTCATAACGATGTTTTGGCTTGTGTAACCATTAGCCAATCAGCAGAATCAGCACTTTTGAAACAGGGCTGAAACAGAGGGTATTATGGGATGCTGCAATGATCTGTTTGGTGTTTCAGCCAATCAGAGACAGCTTCTGTATATATCTGAGACCTATAATATATTGATGAAAAACAGTATAATAGGGGACCTTTAAGACGTAGTTTTGATAACTGTCAGGTGCAAGGCAAGTTTATTTATATAGCACTTTTCAACACAAGGCACAAAGTGCTTTGCAAAAATGAAAGACATTAAAGGTAGGGTATGTAAGTTTGAGAAACCAGCTCGAGTGCGCTAGAATTTGAAAATACACAACCGGAGAAAATCTGCCACTTCCTTACAGAGCCCCTCCTCCAACACACACGAACGCGCACATGACCAATGAGGGCACGAGATAAGTTTGTGCACAGATGGAAGGCTGACAGGCAGGTAGGCCATCCAATCATTTTAGCCGGGTCGGCTAAAATGATTGGTCGTGCTTTTTACAGTACTACAGCTTCCACAGATGACATTTTTTTATGGATTTTGTCAAAGCACTTCAGATATTCATTGCTATCGGGATGTTAAGAGCATTCCATGGAATATAACAAAAAGTGTATCTCGAGCCGGTTTCTTAAACTTACATACCCCACCTTTAAGAGCATAAAACACATTAGAAACATTAAAAAGTAAAGATAATAAAACATGAATAACACAGGTACATGAATAAAAGTTACAGTGCAGTGTGAGATGTGAATAGTTCAATTAAAAGCAGCGGCAAAAAGAAAAGTCTTCATGGGACGTTATGTTTTTATTTTTGTGTGAAATAAAGTAATATTTGTATTCAGTAATATTGCAGTTTCAGTGCTTCACTAATGCAATAAATCCTGGCTTACGAGAGCTATTTGCTCTGGGGAGGGCAAATTCACGCCACCACTTTTAATTGCTTTAATTGTTAGCATGCTAATAAGTCAAACTAAGATTGTAAACATAGTTTTGTTTTAAATGTTTTTTATGTGTCATTTATGTTTTGTTGATCTTCAGAAAAACTGTAACATCTCCGATACAAATGTGCAGCGTGTGATTTTGGGCCACATACATTTGTGACCCGCTCTATCGAAATCAGTCGGAAGTCGCAACGGCTCATTTAAAAAATAAACAAAATAGTTTTTCGGGGTTCGGGTGTTTTGTTTGATTTTAAATAAACAAAGTCTTGGCTTTCAGAATATGAAACTTTTATTTCCAAAACCACACGATAAATACATGTTTGAAGCTTGTAAAGGGAAGATGACAGCTCTCACCCGCACTCTGCTGTTCCGCAGTGCCGCCCCCCCCTCCCTCCCGCTGACATTATGAATGTAAGGCGTATAGTAATCATAGATAACACGGCAGGGTCCGTTACAGTTTGTTTTCATCTGATTTCAATTAAACAAAGTCTTGGCTTTCAGAATATTAAACTTGTTTCGGCAAATTTAGATGATAAATACAACTATGAAGCGGAGAACGGGATAATTACAAGCGGAGAACGGAGTAACTTAACGTCACAGCAGGCATAACAACAGCCGGTGTTTCTCGTGATCGTTTTCCCCGGGAAACACACAAACGCAAAAATACACAAACACACGTATACATACACACACGCACTCGCAAGCTTCCCCCAGACCAGTAATCCAAACTAAAATATCTTCCCTCCGTAGTATTTTGATCATTTGCTAATAACCAATCAGATCGATGGATTCCAGAGAGGAGGAAACTTTAAAGGCCTTTTTCTCAAAATGATGACTCAGTGTTAGTCATTATATAATGTGACATATTTTGCTTAATATTTGGAGTACAACAACCATCCTGATATCATTAGAAAGCTATGAATCTCCTCTTTCCAACAGTGTATACAACTCAAACTGTGTCTGCGGGTCAATGCGACTGATTTCGATGGAGCAGGTCACATTTGATAACCATGCTACTTACTTATCAAAAGCATGTTAGCGTTGTCTTTGTTAGCATGTTAGCATGGTGACACAGCTGTAAATACTGCACCTAAGTACAGGCTCACAGAGCTGGCTCCATAATCACATTTCCTTTTAAGATGCAGTGGAAATGATAATTTTATTACAAGATGATATCAAGACTGTACGCTAATAGCTTTTCTGCATTGTGTACTCGTAAATTCTGCATCATATCCATTAGGGTTACATTAAAAAGAAGGTGTACAATAGCTTTGACTCGCTAAAATAATTAGCACAAGCCATACTCAATTCAATTACATTCAAATAGCTTTATTGGCAAAACCGTAATGACATACAGTATTGCCAAAGCTTTGTACAACTACGACATCTATACAATAGCATTTTAAACAAAAGCAAGAATAACATGTTTTCTTTACAAGACAATAAATAATATACTTTTTGAACATGAACTAGAATATTTATTTAAAAAAACAAAAACAAGAAAAAAACCACCAAAAAACCCAGAAAAATTGAAAAAGTTGAGATTAATTATGTATTATTAATTTATTATGCAGGATAAGGCTGATAATAAATGTGTTTAATACATTAAAATGTGCTCTCCCTCTCTCCCCCCTACAGGGTAAGACGGAGGAGGTGTCTCAGGGTGAGGCGGGGGTGCAGTGTGGATCAGGAGATTCAGGCGGATCTGTGGGAGACCCCTCGGAGGCCAAAGGGACCCCCAAACGCCTCCACGTCTCAAACATCCCTTTCCGCTTCCGGGACCCCGACCTCAGGCAGATGTTTGGGGTAAGAAAGTGGAGAATGTTGTGGGGCCTCTTTTATTTTATTTTTTATGGCGACAATAAATTAGTCTCGACGCCCCGCGGGACCACCTGCTCACGAGGGGGTTTAATGACAGACGATGTAATCAAACTACCACAAAGGAGAGACTCTCATGGGTGTTTTGTTGCTGCTTTAAGGGGACAACTGCCTGCTATGTGTGTTAGCATTTGTGTTAGCATGAGTGGGACAATATCAGTCGAGTTATGCGCAGTTTTCTGGTAGAAAATAGACGTAAAATCTCGGATAATCAACTAATTGTTCATGTTTTATTACGTTTATTGGTTCACTTATCACCAATCTTGGGATAATTTGTTGCATTTCTTTGTTTTATGAGATTACAAATGTTATGAACTGCATTCAAGAGAATAGAGAGAGAGAATTGGGAGGGATGAAACCCCTCTTTAATGGTCTCACATGCAGAGCACACAGCACACACAGTGACATTTGTTCTCTGCGTTTAACCCATCCTAGTACCAGGAGTCTAGTGCCAGGAGTCTAGTCTAGTACCAGGAGTCTAGTGCCAGGAGTCTAGTCTAGTACCAGGAGTCTAGTGCCAGGAGTCTAGTCTAGTACCAGGAGTCTAGTGCCAGGAGTCTAGTGCCAGGAGTCTAGTGCCAGGAGTCTAGTGCCAGGAGTCTAGTGCCAGGAGTCTAGTGCCAGGAGTCTAGTGCCAGGAGTCTAGTGCCAGGAGTCTAGTGCCAGGAGTCTAGTGCCAGGAGTCTAGTGCCAGGAGTCTAGCGCCAGGAGTCTAGCGCCAGGAGTCTAGCGCCAGGAGTCTAGCGCCAGAAGTCTAGTCTAGTGCCAGGAGTCTAGTGCCAGGAGTCTAGTGCCAGGAGTCTAGTACCAGGAGTCTAGTACCAGGAGTCTAGTACCAGGAGTCTAGTCTAGTACCAGGAGTCTAGTCTAGTACCAGGAGTCTAGTCTAGTACCAGGAGTCTAGTCTAGTACCAGGAGTCTAGTACCAGGAGTCTAGTACCAGGAGTCTAGTACCAGGAGTCTAGTCTAGTACCAGGAGTCTAGTACCAGGAGTCTAGTCTAGTACCAGGAGTCTAGTCTAGTACCAGGAGTCTAGTCTAGTACCAGGAGTCTAGTCTAGTACCAGGAGTCTAGTCTAGTACCAGGAGTCTAGTACCAGGAGTCTAGTACCAGGAGTCTGGTACCAGGAGTCTAGTCTAGTGCCAGGAGTCTAGTACCAGGAGTCTAGTACCAGGAGTCTAGTGCCAGGAGTCTAGCGCCAGGAGTCTAGCACCAGGAGTCTAGCACCAGGAGTCTAGCACCAGGAGTCTAGCACCAGGAGTCTAGCCCCAGGAGTCTAGCCCCAGGAGTCTAGCCCCAGGAGTCTAGCCCCAGGAGTCTAGCCCCAGGAGTCTAGTCCCAGGAGTCTAGTCCCAGGAGTCTAGTCCCAGGAGTCTAGTCCCAGGAGTCTAGTCCCAGGAGTCTAGTCCCAGGAGTCTAGTCCCAGGAGTCTAGTCCCAGGAGTCTAGTCCCAGGAGTCTAGTCCCAGGAGTCTAGTCCCAGGAGTCTAGTGCCAGGAGTCTAGTGCCAGGAGTCTAGCGCCAGGAGTCTAGCACCAGGAGTCTAGCACCAGGAGTCTAGCCCCAGGAGTCTAGCCCCAGGAGTCTAGCCCCAGGAGTCTAGCCCCAGGAGTCTAGCCCCAGGAGTCTAGCCCAGGAGTCTAGCCCAGGAGTCTAGTCCCAGGAGTCTAGTCCCAGGAGTCTAGTCCCAGGAGTCTAGTCCCAGGAGTCTAGTCCCAGGAGTCTAGTCCCAGGAGTCTGGTCCCAGGAGTCTGGTCCCAGGAGTCTGGTCCCAGGAGTCTGGTCCCAGGAGTCTGGTCCCAGGAGTCTGGTCCCAGGAGTCTGGTACAGAGCCCGGGGAGCAATGGGAGTGAGGGGGGAAGGGGGGTGTCCGGTGCCTTGCTCAAGGGCACCACGGCAGGGCAGGAGGTGAAATGGGACCTCTCCAAGTAGCAGTCCACACTCCATATTTAAGGTCTGGTCGGGGACTTGAACCGGCGACCCTACAGCTCCCAGTCCAAGCCCCTACTGACTGAGCCACTGCCACCAAAGGCATCACTTTTAAGAAATGCTGATGGGAATATTCATATTTTCTATTTTAGTACATTTTACTTAAGTAACAGAGTATGTCTTCTTGCTACATGTAGGGGTAAATCTCTGTTTCAATGCAAAGACATGGAAGGAAACTCATTGCAATGTGTGCAGTTGTGTAACAGTGACACCTTGTGTTGTAACTCACACACTGTCACAAGATATCTTCCACAACTCAAAGATGTTATGGACTGTTTTCTCTGCTTATACTTGTTTGCTAACGTCTTCCCTTTTGATGTGTTTGCAGCAATACGGGAAGATTCTGGATGTAGAGATTATTTTCAATGAGAGGGGCTCAAAGGTAAGTGCACTGATGATGTTTTATTCCCTGAAACTACTCAACAGTTCTGACTCGATGTTAGCTGTACATGTATTTCACACTTTGTAATACTTTTACACAAAAACAGCTCTTTTTTGAGAGTATTTTAGTGTTTTTTTGCCATTTTATAGGAATATTGTTGTGTTAATTAACAAAATCACAGTATAACTGGTGTTTATTGTGATTTTCTGCAACAAAACCACTTCATGTTTAACACAACTTCCACTTGGGGTGTGGGATAATTGTCCATCAAATCTTCTTTTGTATAAATCAAAACGTTCTTTAATATAGTTTTTTGATGACTATTCAGAATCTTAAAAGATACGACGCGTTTGAGGCCGGTTTTGAACCTACGTGCCAAAACAATTGATCTTACGTGACTAGATTGACTTCCTCACCACCAACACGATCGTTTATGTTCCGCAGGGTTTCGGCTTCGTGACGTTTGAGACCGGCGTGGACGCAGAGAGAGCCCGGGAAAAGCTCCACGGCACGTTGGTGGAAGGTCGTAAGATTGAGGTAATTTTCCTCCCTCTCTCCCTCCTCCTTCTTCCTCTCTTCTATCTTCTCGTAATTCTGCTTGATCACTGACTGCTAGCTAGCTCCCATCCTCCCTGTAGTGATATGCTCTGATGCGGCCCACTGGTTTCCCACTCCCTGGACCCATTTTTTTTTTTTTATTAAAAGACTTTGTTTCCTTTTTGTTTTTGTGGTGGGGGTGCAAGAACACTACATAAGGCATGCTGGGTACTTTTCCTCTGCAGATTTTATTTTTCACATTAAGCTTTTCTTCCCCTCTCACTCGACTCGTAGCCACACTGATGTTTTTTTATCGCAACATGTGAATGATGTGTGGGCACCGGAGGGCTCGGAGAGGAACGCAGTGGAAGGATGATGCATGGCAGATTGCCGTCTTTATTTCACCCCTTTTCCTTAGAGTAGAAATCCTTCTGTGTTCCCCTCTCTCTCCCGGTGCTAAGTGGTTGTGACAAGCTTCTGGCTCTGCAACAGCCGCATGCTGGGAATCACGGCGCATGTTCACAAGTCTGGATTCTTTAGGTGCGTTCACATCGGACACGAAGCGAATGTTTTTGAGCGTCGCGATTACATGTCAAGTCAATGCAGGGACGCGGATAGACGCACATTCGTTCCGGGCAGCGCTAACGAAGCAATCATTTGTTCATCATTCAGCTTCATTCAAATTAAATAAAGCCAATTAGCGGAGAGAATCTCTCCCTGCTGTCGCTGACGTTGTTGAATCAGAAAGATAAAGCAGCAGTCGTGTATCTGTGTTTATAAATCTACAAACCACAGACTGGCTATGGTCGAATACAGTCGCTTCTATTTTGAGTCTGTACGGAGTAGCCACATGTTAGCTTAGCCTAGCCTGATCGAACCAATCCGAGTTTTTCGCCTATCTTTTTGATACTATTATTACAATAAAATCGAGGCAAATTATGTTCATTTTGTTGTAATATTATGTATTTATTTCAACAAGGACCATGCATACAAATACATTAATCTCAAAAAACAGAAGAGATGAATTATGCCAGATTATAGCTAATGGCTCATTTCCATCTGCAGTCCTTAGGTAGGTAGTGTTGATGGGATCTACATGTAGATAAGCCCCGCCTCCACGCCAGCGCATTTTGTTTGAGTGACACGAGTAAACACAACTGAAAGCCGCGAATCTCCGCTTTGCGTCCGGTGTGAACGCACCAAGCTGATTTTTTTTCGTATGTAGAATCCATGTATGTTAAGGTTTCCTAAACATTGATTTTTTACTGAAGCATGTGAGTTTTTTGGGAGTGTCAATCAGCCAGTTTTGGGTCTGTGACCAACGTCGCTGTAAGCCAGGATTTTTGCATGGGCTTACTGTGGTGATTTCAACGTGGTGTGTGTGTGTGTGTGTGTGTCAGTGTGTGTATGAGTCAGTTCCTGCATGACGGATGAAGCTTCTTTTTTTTTACTGTGGTCGTGAATGAAATACAGCCACCTGCATCCTCTGGTTCAACATCTCCCTCCGCCCTCAGCCAATCAGCAAGCTTGATGGATACTGATGGAGTTGATTCACACTGCATCAGTCTCACACACAACATATATCCTCCCTGGCATTACTCTCTGTTTCCCTCCACACGTTTTGCATGATATATCAGTCACTGGGATTAATCATGAAGCAGTTTGTCTTTGTTTTCAGGCGTCACGTTGCATGTTGTACCTCCACTAGCGGTGTAGCATGGAGGCAGAGTCTCTTTCTGTCTGTTTATGGTGCATGGGCTTGAGGAGACAAAAGGCTGGCACTGGATCAGTGTTTATACATTCTTTCAACAGAGGAGAAAAAACATTTCTATTTGAGGCAAGGCCATGTGGCGGTTCTGCTTTCTGGCAGATGTTGTAACTCTCGCTTGAATTGCTCGTTTCATTTCAGAGTTATGTTGAATTATGAGAGCTATAATAATTCAGAAAACTCTGAAATTAAAGCGTACTGTATATAATGGTTATTGTGTGTGACTGTGAAGTTCACTGGCATGAGATTAGTCGACGTAGGCTGCATGGTCGGTATTTTATCATGGAAATATGTGACACAGCTGGATGTATTTTCTTGCATGTTTATCCGTGTGTCCATTTGTTAAATTGGTGATGGGATTTGTTCAGTTGGCATGAATTCAGTTGCACCTGGGTGCCTTCTAGTCTTCACTCTTCACTGGAAAAAGGCTGAGACCTCGCTTTTAGAGAGAGTTGTATGGGGAATGATTTATAAAAAGAAAACTCAACTTGAGTGCTGACACTTCTCATTCTCTGTGCATGCCAATGGGAGTCGGTTGGTACTTATTCTCACAGCTCAGCAGCCTGCATGTCATGAAATAGAAAGGGACTTTTTGTGCATAATGTCCTTCTCTTTGTCTGGATTAAAACTCTGCGCTTTGAAGAAGTCAGGTTTCCTGTGTGCTTCCAATGTATCCATGTAAGTGGCTCAACTACACTTTGTCTCTACCTGCTTCTCTACCCCATCTCATCACCATTCATTCTATATATAGACCCCTGCAGGTCTATATATAAAGGCATCTCCACCCACTCATATGATTGTGCGTATGCTCTAACATTCAAATGGTGAAGCTGCTCTCACTCATTACATCTCCTCACATTTTGGCTGTCATTGACTTGTGTTACTTTGACTGTTAGGACATCCCAGCTAATGATACATAGCTTCATTCCTATGCTACAGATACTGGCTGTAGAGGAAGTGCATTACGGGTTCTTGCATGGTCTCATTTGTGCAACCACAGACCTCAATTAGTAAAAAAACAAAGCAGTCAATGGTTGCGCCAATTGGACTTTTTGCTGACAATTGCATCCCATTGAAAATTCCCCACAGCTCTTATCAGCTGGTGGTCTAATTAACTAACATTGTTTTGTCGTTTCTCCATAAATGACTGGAAAGGTCTAGATGTTCTCGATTTACTGTAATAAATGCAACTAGAATGGTATTTGGATATTGCGAACTTCCACCAGGGCGAATGATGCTCCCCAGATGGTCAAATGTCCCCGAGTTTGGAAGCTGTTCTCACGACTTTGGTTTGTTCAAGGGCTTTAAATCATAATGTGCAAACAAAATGGACACTACAAAGAAGGTGTGTTTGAACAATGCGCTGATAGGTTTTAATATGTTTTTCCAACGTTAGTGGACGTTCGCTTGTCCAAGTCTAGAACACATTTTTACGATTATTCGGACACCTTATTAATGCTGCTTCCTCCCAATGTTAATGAAAGTGAAACATCATTTGTTCTTATTGGGATCAGCTCCAAATTGTAATGGGTTCTTCCTCGGCCCATGCTTCACCCTTCCACCAAGTTTCATCAAAATCGAACCCACTGTTTTCCTAGTAATCCTCCTGACAGACAAGCAGAAAAACAAACCGTGCCGAAAATATAACTTCCTTGGCAGAAGTAATTACCTACCGCAATAATAGTTCCATTGTCTCTGGGGATGCAAGACATAATAAATAAAGCCGTAAACCCTGGTCTTTTTTATTATTAATCGGCACCAAACAACCAGCGCTGCACAAAAGGTCTACCTCGTTTTGCATCGACCTTCCGGAGAGCTTTCTGCTCTGCTTGCTGTAGATTATTGCAAAATTCTGTGTAGTATTGCCACGGCATGGACAAAAGCCAAGCAATTACTCAACGTCAAAGACCTCCAATACGTCCTCAAAGGATAAGGAGCTTTGTCGGGCAAAGAGACCATGCTGAACCCTTAAAGACTCCTGTTCACAAACTCTTAAGGTTGTGTGGCTCGAGTGTGACAGGAAGTGACTGTTCCTCCGAGCGCAGAGTTTTAGTCAGACTTATTTAAAAGCAGAATATAAGTGCTCTGCATGCAAAGGGGGGAATAAAGAGCGTCACCAGTGCATGGATTTGTGCGATGAAGAGGATACGAAGATGTTTTTGCCTGGGTTTCTGCATGTTTTACCAACCATCTCACACTCCTGAATGGTACACTGTTGGCCTCAGCTCACTTTGGGTCCTAAATCAACCATTTCCATACACTCTTTGGGCGATTTTGTTCAGCTGTTTGTGAGTTGTTGGATGGGTGATAGCCTAAATTGAAGGCTTACCAGCTTCCGTGTGTCCCGATGTCATAAACCCCCCCCCCCCCCCCCCCTCCTATTCTTCTTCTTCCCTTGGCTTTGGATTGGACTGGTTCTGTTTTTGTTATCGAAACTTTCTTTTTTACTGCATGATTTGGATCGATTCATGAATGAAATGTGCGCGTATCCATGTGTGTTTGCTTCGAGTGGAAATGTAGAAACGGTTTGAACGAAAAGGGGAAAGAGAGTTTGCACTTTGCCCTTTCCAACCCTCTCTGTGTGTCGTCTTCTCTTTCTCTTCATCTCTTGTTGCCAGTCAAGTTTGTCTTTCTGTCCTTTCGTGTTTTATTTGAAAGTACTTCTTTTTTGCCATCATCTCTACCTGCCTTATTCTGTTTCCATTTATCGTCATGTGTTTATTTTACATCTTAATTTATTGTTTGACTATCAAACAACTTTCAGTATGTTATTTTGTGGTGACTGACTGCTAAACACTTTAAGGAAAGATCTGCCACTCGGTTCACAACAGATAATTAAATGTACTTTTTTGAACATGGGCTCTTCTCTTCTGGCCTAACCTAGCCACACAAGAATGAGTCATTTATTGCCCAAGTTTAAAGAGGCCCTTTTATGCTTTTTGGGGGGTTTTCCTTTCCTGTAGTTATGTAGGTTTGTGTGCATGTAAATGGTCTGCAAAGGCTATAATCTCTAAATTCCCTCCAGAGGAAGTTTCTCTCCCACACACGCCACGCTCCTATTGGCTAGCGCTCCAACACATTGTACGTGATTGGCTACGGGTCGGGACCTCTCTAAGCGGTTGACCAATCACAACAGAGCCGGCCAGCTAACCAATCAGAGCAGACTGGGCTCTGGTTTCAGACAGAGGGTGAAAAGAGGTGCTGCAGCACAGACAGTATGAGAAAAATAAAG